CTGTAGTCTTGCTTTCAATAGTAACGGAACAGGAATGTCCCCACTTTGGAGGCACACTAAATTTATCCACAAATGCCCAGAGAGGCACACTAAAATTACCAAAAGGACTCCAGTATGCCCTTCCTTTGCGTCTTGCCTTTTAGCATATAACATTACCTGCTTTCGATAAAAATGTCACGTTGTTTGGTAGTGTCACAAAATAAACAGGTTTGGGGATCAAAAGGGAGCACACTGATTGCAAATATTGTACCATCAATGTGAGTTGATGATATAGCTTAGACTGTAATTCTGTACACACAGAATTGAACTCAATGGGACTTACTTCTAGATAGACATTGGTAGGATTGCACTATAAATATCCTCTCATTTACCCTCATTTAGGAGGGTATTTCTGCCATAGGCAGTTCATAGATTGTGTAGAGGTCAGGTAGGTCCTCAGAAATTTTGGGGTGACTCCCCCTTTATCTATGAGCCACTGCTAATTATTGTCCTATTTTTGGTAAACTACTATCCTAAAGTTCAGAAATAGATGGCTTATAAGGCAAATCTAGCCACTTTCTTCCAAAATTATTTTACCCAAGGGCTCTGTTCATTATTAGCCTTCTGTAGTTGTCCCTTTCCCATTTATCTGGCAGCAGCAGCAACAGAACAGTCTTGCTGGAGGCTCCGGCAGATGCCACCATTTCCTTCCTTCTCCCTGTCTCCTTGATAATGTAATGCTGGAAGGAAGTCAGGGAGATGTGTTTTTTGAAGCACCGCGGGCATATTTAGGAGCTCAAATAGATTACAGTTTCCAGGGTCTCTTGCATTTGGGATGCTGAAAGTACTCAAAGAGTTATAAAGGGAAGGAAGAACTGAAGCCTTGAAGAGGCACATCCAGTGAAGTCTGCCTAATGCTATTGCCATTTCTAGGTTTCAAGGAACAAAAACACTCTAGCCGCCTAGAGTGGTCAACCGACTAGATAGGCGGGATATAAATAAAATAAATAATAAAAATACCATAACAGAACTCACAGACTTTCAGCTTTTATATACCCAATTGTGTTGTTACAATTGATTGTACTTGAATTTTGGAATCAGGCTTAATAAATATATATTTTTAAATAGCAAAAGTTCCTGGGCTGTTTTCAGCTAAATATCCTTATTGATGATTTTATTTATGACTACACTTTAGACCAGTGGTAAAGGTAATGGAATTCAAACAAAGGTTTAGTGGAATTTCCCAACTTGTTTAGCTTTCTTTTAAATAAAATTTTCTAACTTATTTGGCTTGCTTCTTAATACTGCCAATACTGACAGATCAAAAGGGAAATAGATGCTATTCACACATTCCTATATCACAAAAAGAAAGTCTGCAGGAAGTCATCCTGTTAGGGTTTGCACTATTTCATTCTATGGCCGTATAATCACTGTATGTATCTTCAGGATGTTGTTGTTCAGGATGTTACATGAACATCTGTAATTTATTCTAATTTATTGCCATTTTGCTCTAAAGATCCAAGGGAATAGAACAATACTTCTCAGTAAGCCTCATGTTTTGTGAAATATGGGTGCAATACTGAATGAACCACAGTGTGTTGCAATGCTCATGAATCTCGATCCCGCCAAGCAACAATTTGACAGGATCCAGATTTCTGAAACATCTCAATGTCAGTCTGTCTAACTCAGTTGGGGCTGGTAGTAAACAATGCAGTGGCTTGTCTGCTGGCAGAGATGACTTTGCTTTTGATTGTAATGCATTCAGCTGCATAAGTGAGTCATCACTAGGGATGCAGGAATCCAGTTCAGAGGATATTTTATGTGGACTTCCTTCAGTTTGCATTGCCAGAACTGGATGCACAGTGGATGGACTTTGCATTCCAAAACCTCCAAATAATTGGTTGGCTGTGGATGCATTGCACAAAATATGCACTCCTGAGAACTGTTCACAGAAAAATGTCCATATTGCAAATATGCCCAAAACATATAACAAACATGATTTAGTCAATGGGGAGAGGAAATATATTAATACAGTTTGAAAAACTTCATGCAGAAATGCATGCTTTTTAAAAAAATATATATGGTTTTCTGTAAAATAAGAATGTACAGAAGCAGACATGAACAGATCTGGAGGAGAGAAAAAGACAAAACCTGTGAATATGGCTAGGTGTTCATGTTCCTAATCATAGCCTCATCCATATTCCTTTATCACACCACATTTCCTTATCAGTCCATACTAGAGATAGGCACAAACCAAACTACGAACCAGAGAAGCCAATGAACTGGGCTGGTTTGGTTCTTGACCCAGTTTGAGGATCCTGTTTGCCAAAATGAAACACCAAACTCCCCCCCCAATGCTTTGTTTTGCTTCAGCAAAATGGATGCCTGCCCACCCCTTTCCCACTGTCCCCATTGACTCCCTAACTGGTCCTGCTGCCTCTACCATTGTCACCATAGTCTGAGACAGTTGGGCTATCAGTGCATGTGCAGAGGCAACACCTGGGCTCCTTGTCATCATGCCTTTGTGTTATGGTGATGGGGCGGTGGGAGTGCAGCAGCGCCCTCCAGGCACAAACTGAAAACCAAACCACTAACTGATTCAGTTTTCCAGTTAGTTTGTGGTGGTTTTTGGCTTATCCGGAACCAGAAGAAACCACAGTTTTCCAGGTTTATGTCCATCTCTACTCCATACCATTTTAGTTAGGTCATATCATATCTAGTAATGATTATTTGCTGCAGGAAGTCATCCTGTTGTGCTATTACTGGTTGACTCACCATTCTCACAGCTCTTTAGTGAGAGCACTGCAGATATTTTGCAGAGAATTCTAAGTCCTCACAAAATGATAAATCTTGACATTCCATAGAATAAAACCAAGGAAGTTAAAATGGAACTGAATTGCTATAACTGATGTAGTGAAGATATATTCTGAATGACAGGATTGGACAACTTCTGGCACTTGAATATCATTCCCAGCATCCCTCAGCATTAACTAGGGTGATAAAGTCCACTGGGAGTTGCAGTTCAACAAGAACATCTGGAAGGGCAACTTGCCCACTTCTGCTTCATGATATACTAAGGATTTAATTGCTGGAAAAGACAAATGGCCCACAGAATGGGGCTATAAAGCTGTAATCTGAAGTAATTTACTTGAAATTGTCTTTAGGCTGAAATGAACAATTTAGGATTGAGATAGTAATCTTAAATGGTGAAAGGGTCGAGAAACACTCAGAACAGCAAACCATACTGAATATAATTACACTGGGGATCAACTTGTAGTCATGGAATTTGTTCAGTAAGAAACAGGTCTTAGATTAGAGGTACAATATGGAAGCTGTCTGAGATGTTTAAGTATACTGGCAACTCTGTGGGATCACCATAACATGTATTGTGTCAGCTATCTTATCCTATGTCCAGTATCATGTGATTAACCTTCAGAATTCATGCATATTTATATAAAGCATATTCATTGCTTCATGACTGTGATGTTAAGTAATGTCTGGCACATATGAAATAGTCGTCATTGACATAGTTTCTAGACAGCTCTCAGCTCTCTCGTGAAGGTTATTCACGTAGCCAGCTGACAGTTACCTTAAAAAGATGATGTCACATTCTGAGGAAATTAGATCTGAGTAAAGTGCTCACTTCTGCTACGCTAAAGCCATAACAAAATGATTTTACTTCATCCATAACTCTATCTTAATATTTCTTGTGAAGTCTATTCTATTGTAACCAATCACATCTGAACACTTGTTGCAAGTTCAGCTTCACAGGTTCTTAATTTAATTTTGTAAACATTTAGAAATAGATGAAAACCGATAATTAAACTATTTTATGATTGCTACAGTTTGTCAGACATTGACCTAGCAATCATGCCTGTCTCATGGTCTTGCTTTAACAAATCTTCTGGTATTAAAATCCAGTAGAACATTTCAAAAATGGGTAATTTAAATCTAGGAAACAAAGTTATACTCCTAAACAAACAAACATTATTGGGAATTAAGCATTTTTAAAGGTTTCAAACCTTGGCTCACTTTCCTGTTAAGCCTCCTTCAATACTGTGCAATTTAGGGCAAAGTAACTAAAATTGCACTCACAATTGAAAATTTTAAATAATCTCTGTGACACCCCAAGCACCATCAAAACAACAGGGAAACATGTCTTAAGAGCTTTCTGTGGGAGTTATGATTGGAACTATGATAGAGAGCGAAAGGTTAAACTCTAATTGAGGCTTCTGTAGTCTTGATGCTATTTCAGCTGCAGTTTTCAATGTTTAAAGTGCTAACTAATTACAGGGGTGGGACTTCCTGATTTAAAAGAGCGTGTCCCAGGCCCCTGGACCCTTTCTCCTAGGAAGCTGGGCTGAGGGCGAAGGCCAGGTCTGTTTGCATGGATGCTTTGCTGAGTTTTTTTTCCTGGGCTTTCTTTTTGTCTCCTGAGCACATGGCCTGGGGGTGGGGCCTAGGGGTGGGACTTCCTGATTTAAAAGAGCGTGCCCCAGGACCGCGCGCCTAATGGCGCGCAAAATTCTCACATTTTATATCTGGCCTTAATATGGTAAATAGGAAAGGCAATGAGATTTGCATAAGCCGGGGAGTCAGGAAAGTTTTAAGAATCAGATCATACTTTTGCACTATTAAAGAGCAGGCCGGGTAGGTGGGGCTCGTCAGCCATGGAAGGCAGCCCATCTAGGAGAAGGAAAACTCGATTTCAAACCTCCACTGTCTTGTGGCTATATCCACTCATGGAAAAGGCTTCAGGAGTTAACCTCGAGGCAAAATCCGGAGCTGGAGTCCCGAAGGCAGCATGTGTCGTTCTGCCAACTCCTGCGACATTGCTGGAACCAGTTGTATTGGCTCTTGCCTTTCCATTGGACCATTTCAGCAATGTGGAGAGGGGGGATCTGCTGCTTGGGTAACAGCCTATCCTCCATATTACCTTACCCGGGCTTCATGCTCTGGAGAGGACACTCCTCAATTCAGAGCATGTTACCATAGTCTCTCGAGACTGAAGGATGCCTATGCTAATTACATTCACACAATTAAAATTATGTTTTATTTGGTTCTTATATTGGAATAAATATGAATAAGATTCCTGTTGAATTTCATCTTTCAATAGATGAATTATAGAGGAGTTTACTTTTCTCTCCTACTGAAATAAATTTTAACCTTGCTTCTTTCTCTTTGCCTGGATCATATCCCAGATTCTCCTGTTTGCCTATGACTTTTTTGTTTGCTAAGGCTGCAGTCCTGTGCCTGGCAATCTAGGGACAAGCCCCACTGATTTTCGTGGAAACTACATCTCAGTAGGCATGTATAGGATTAGCTTAATCAAATCAAGGGCCCTTCTGTCCTCCTTTTAAGAAAGCTTTGGCTGTTGCTACCCTGACCACAAGACATGCAAATAATTTTCCTGGCTTAAAAAAAAGGTGTATCCTGAAAATAACACTAATTCTGCTTGTAATAATTTAGCTGGAAGTAAAACATTAGCTAAATATACGTTGTCATTGTAAACATGTTTTATTTATTTTAAAAATGGTTATTAATGCTATTAGTTTATACATGTGCAATATTATTTAATAAATTCTTCATTATTTAAATGTAGGAATGTAGAATTTCAGCTGGTTGGCCACAGTGCTAACTAGTGCCATCTGCCATCTTTCCTCTGCTGACACTTTAACAGAGATTAAAGCTGTAGGTTTCCCTTCCCCTCTAGCCATTTGCAATAGTATTCCATCTATAAAATCTGCAAAAAGGTACTCGTTCTAACCAAACATTAAAACACAGATCAGTTTTCATGACTTGAAGTTCTGTCTTGCTCTGAAGCTGGGGAAAGAGGGTGCAATTAGAGCCATGGCGAGAGAGAGAGAGAGAGAGAGAGAGAGAGAGAGAAGTTCAACAAGAATTAAAAATCAGTAAAGTGCACAATTACTGTCAAAATGTTCCATTTCCTTTGATCCAAAGAATTTACTGTACTGTCAATGTGCAATGCATTTTGGCTTGCTTGAAATATAGAATCAGAACTGAACACGACAAACTCCTGTTTTTTTGTTTTTCCTGAAGACATTGACAGGAATTTATTGATGCAATTCAAGGATAGTGTACTTCAGCTCTTTGGGTATTGACCAGTTTCCTCGATCCACAAGGGGGCAGAAGGATCACAAGTCATTTCAGTGCTTGTCTCCATTTTTATTTGGTGGAAATGACTGTGTCTTCCAGATCTCCCTCCTCCAGCCTGATTGTGGCATCTGATCTGGAGATCATGAAAAGTTTCTCTTTATTTGTATATTGTCTCTGGATTTTCAAAGGCTGCTGCTCTGTTTGCTCTTTGCTGGCCTCCTTGGAAGAGGAGCCAGCATCCCCGCTGGGGCTCACATCACAGTCTTGGGGTTTATGGGCTGGGGTGTTGGCAACAGATTCCAAAGAGGTGCCTGTCTCCTCCAGTGGGGTGTAGCCCTTATTGCTTTGGTATTGACCATACTGAGAGCTCTGGGAATCTCTCCTTCCCACAGGTGATGCTGGAGGGGGAGAGTCCCCCAGATTAAGGGATTTGGAGTACATGGAAGATGAAGCTTTAACTAAAAGACTGGAGTCTAGGTCAGTGCTACTTCCCAGAGTCTGAGAGGGTTCAGGGGAGAAGGATCTCCTGAAATCAGGGAGGCAGCTTGTGCTCTGGCGCCGAAGAACTAGCTTGCGCTTGCCCCTCTGGGGCAGCATTTTATGTGCTTGTTCAGTGTCTACACTGCTGCTCCTGAGATCTTTCAGGCTGAGTTCAAACTCTCCCCGAGGGATTTCCCTGGACCCTCGTTCCCCCAGTGGCCTCTGCCAGTGCCTGTGGTCTCCATCGGATACCTCCCCTTGAGCCAGTGGCAGCAAAGTGAAGGTGCTGAGTGAGGAACCCACAATGGAGCTGGTGGTGCTACGCTGGTCCCAGCCACCAGGGGGGCTACAAGGTGGGCTGCGAGAAGTCCTAGACAAGGCTGCTCTCTCCCGGTAGATGCTGTACACAGCCTCAGCCAAGCTAGGGGGCTGTTGCTGCTGGGAAGAGAAGGATAAGCGGCGTGGTGATGAAGCCAAGTCTGGAGGGGAGAGGGGAGCACTCACCGCAGGATGCCAGATGGTCTTGGCTAGCATGGCAGGAGCCCCTAAGGCTTCCCCAGAACTGCTGCCAGGCTTCAGCTCAAGTCCCCGGGGTTGTACATAGTTAACAAAGCCATTGATTGGCACTGGGGCAACAGCAGATGAGGAGGCCCCATCCTTGGTTCGAAGGCTGTGTGCATCTATGACCGTGGAGTACAGGTCCCTCAAGTTGATTATCTTGGTCTTTTTGTCGCGGTTCTCATGAAGCACAGCATTGGCACAAATGAAAAGGAAAATGCCAATGCCCATAATGAGGGGTCCAAGCACCTTAAGCTTGTCTGAATGCAAATATCTTGAGAAAAGCTGAAAAAGGAAGCCTCTTGAGGTGGGTGAGGGGGCAGGTGAGGACGGAAGGAGGATCTTCTTGCTACCTGTGGAAGAGGAATTTGTTCTTGAGCCTTCCGGGTGAGATTCTCCTGAGTCCTCTGTCTGATTTCTGGAGTGGCTTTGGGCAGCACTCCCATGTGGTGGTGAAAACTGTTTGCCCCCAAGGTTCCCTGCCCGGTAAAGGGGCTTGGGCCAGTAGCCTACTACCGCCAATGCAATTCCCACAAGCAGCACCAATATACCGCAGAGAGCAATGAGGCCTGAGACGGAGCACAGCTTGAGTTTACCCTTCACCACCACCACATCATTCTTGCGTTTCTTTTTGACTTTGCGCTTGCGTTTCGGGACTTGGCTCTGAGGTCTCAAGGGATCCTGTTTCCTGGCTGAAATCCTCAAGAGGCCTCCAGTGGCGATCATGGCTGGCTATCCTGGGCACTGTTCCTGACAGCAGCTCCAGTTCCTGCAGCAAAAGGGAGAAAAGAACATGTGAGTCCAAGAAGTGTCTGAATCTGCTGAGCACTTCTGTAATACCACATTGCCCTGAACACAACTAATCTTTATAATAATAGCAATCATCTTAGAACTGCAGATCTGGAAGGGATGCTCCTGATCAGCAAGTCCAGCTCCTGTCAAGAAGGCACAGCGGGGAATCAAACTCCAGATCTTTGGCTCCGCAGCCACATATGTAACGACTCAGCTACCCAGAAGGGTTAGATCTGCTTTCTATCTTACTCGGATGCAAGACTAGAATACTAGAGATACCCAGGTACAGTTAGCAAAGAAACTTGTTTGTAATCCTGGAGAGCTGCTGCTAGTCAGACTTACTGGTACTAGGCAAGATGGAACAAGGCAGCTTCCTGTGTTCCTTTCACTAATAGAACAAACATCTGAGTGTAAGGCAGCTTCCTGTGTTCCTTTCACTAATTCAGGTTGCATAGGCTCGTTTAGTTTGCAAGTTGGAGCTGACATCAGTTTCTCTAAAATCTGCTCAGTCACTAGTGACTAATCACTTCCTTTGATAAGGAAGTCTGCATGAGACACACCATTCAGCATGTCTAGGTATATGAGAGTGAGGGAAAATACATTAAAATAGCACACATGTTTCTCCATCACCAGCCACAAACACAATAGCCAGGATGACCGTCAGAGCAGCAGATGATACCCCTACCTCCCCACTGCACACTGAAGTATATGTACCCAGAAACAGGCACATTATTATGGCACATGATACAGCCCACAAACACCTCTCCCTCTTCCTGACAGTAAAAATCTAGCAGCTAATTAATAATGATGGATTTGACATATTTTCATGGAAACCAAAACCTGCTGCCTCTGTCAGCAGCCACTGACCTCACGGCCTTAAAGTGCTCTCCATACATTCAATTAGTAGCAGTTACACCATTAATTAACAGAGAAGAGCAAAGGTTGCCTCATTCTAGTTTGAGTTTGACAAACTTGTAAGGCTCCGAGTTAAAAAATAAAGAAAAAACAAAGAATGAGGGAAACGTATTCTATTGAAAGAAACCATAAACATGCTGAACATTTGTGTGAAAGTAGAAAAACATTATCCAAGTTGTATATAGAATTTGGGACGTGAATTTTAAGGATCTGATGATACTCATACATAGCCTGTGCTGGCTTGGAGGAGATGAACAAGGTGAGACTTAATCTGGATAAGACAATAACAGATGTGCTCTGGGTTGCACATTGTCCTTGATGGATTTGTACTCCCCTAGATAAAGTGAACATTTTGTGAATGTTCTGGACCTAACCCCTCTTGTTGTACATGTAGATAACATTGGCATGTGAGTCATTTGTTGCCCATATCTGCATAAGTGGAGCTTGCTTCAGTTGCATATGCTACAGAAATGTCCAGGCTTGACAACTGCAATATTATTTCTATGAGGCTGCTTTAAAGATGGCTCGGAAACTCCAGCTGACACCGAAGGCAGATACTAGGGTGCTGATAAGTAAGCAATGCTGAAAACACAACTACACTGATTCCCAATCTGTTTCTCGGCTTAATCTGAAATGCTAGTATTGACCTTTAAAAGCAGAACCACATTACCTCACATTACAGCTGGCGCATGATCCGAGCAGATGGACGATACTCCATTTTGGGATACGGTTCCCCCTATGCTTGGACCATGGGTGGCCCCAGCTTAGAGGATGGCTGTTGGTCATGTTGACCTCCCCAGCTCTTTGAATTAACCCTGATAATAATTCTCTCCATTGGCCACATGACTGACAACTCTAGAGCCTTTTTCAGTGGTGGTGCCATATTTGGGTAATTATGAGTAACATGGGGACCACTGACAGCTCCTTCTCTTGCTGCTAGATGGGATGGTTTAGTTAGTCTCATCTGATGTTTGTTTTGTTTTCTTGCCTTTGCTGTTCTTTTGTATCTTCTTAGAATCAATTTTAAGCCGCCCAGAGACCTTCGGGTAGCTTAGAATCATTTTTAGTAATTATACTGTTGTTCAATAAACTTGTTTAAATGGGATATTTGAACATGAATGTGTAGAAAAGCAGCCTGGAATGACATAAAATATATAGCTAAGTACAATCTATCTTAAAACTTGTTTTCCCATGTTGCTTAAACAGTGTTTCCCTTAATTTTCATCCATCCTTTGAATGAACCAGCTCAATTTCAACAGCTCAGTTTCATATGACTCCTCTGTGCACATCTCCAAACCTAAAACTCTACTGATTTTTCTCTACAGAATAGTTGCTAACAGGTCTTTCCCTCACTTCAGTTCATCATATAAATACATACATCAGGTCCCCTGTCCTGTCAACTGGAGTGGCTTTGTACAAGAGCTAAAGAGATCAAGGTGCCATTTACCCTCCATTTTCAATAAAGGTACCATCATGGTGAAGCAAAGCCAAAATTCCTTTTCCTCCTGTTATTCTGACTTAGTTAAAAGTCCACTTTATTTATGCTCATTGTGTGCTCCCAGTAGACTAAGTTATATAGAGATTCAATGAGGCAATTGCAGAAAACTAGCTAAATTTACATCATGCATCATCAAGACATGTCATGCTATGCTCGTGAGCAGACAAAAAGAAGGTGTACAGGGGTGCTGATTAAAGATGGGGACGTTGCTTTCTTGGACTACAGCTCCTAGCATTCCTGTCATGTCATGTCCTTTCAGATTCTGGGAGCTGAAAAATAACTTTTCCCATCACTGATGGGTGTGTGTGTGAAAGTTCAACATACAAACACCCAAATATGTGAATTAATTTGCATGGATTTTGCCATTTTTAAACAACTGCCTGTGGTACTTCAGAAAGACTGTCTTCTGCATTATTTTAACAGGCAGGAATTTGTTTAGTGGAGAAAGTTTGAGCACATATCAGAAAGGTTTTGCACCTATTTTTTTATTTCCCAGAATATGTTTAACTTGTCACAGTAGTGACAGATATGCCAGCTGTGGTAGCCTAATAGTTCTACTGTATTTTGAAGGATAAAGAATGGTATCCAATTAAAAAATAGTGCAAAGACTTTTCATTATACCCTCATATTTCCACTACCTTGGATACTGCTTGCTCTTCTGTTATGGAATCGGAGACCAGGTCGCTTTCTGTCTCTAGCCCAAGCCCCATTCACAGTGATATCAGCTTTAATGCCAGAAGACAGGAACGGCTCGCTGGTGAGGCTTCCCAGAATTTGAAAGGCACAAGTCATTTTCGTACTGTCAGTTAAGGTGTGCAATTGTTTGTGTGCAAAGGTCAGGATTACAGCTGTTGTGCATGTTTCTTTGTAAAGAAGAAACTCCTAATAAGATAGAATGAGAAAGGCCTGTAAGTAGCATGCATAGCTTCAAGTTGGGTCCACTTCCTAATTCTGCCTGTTTATGTGACTCATAAGAACGTAAGAACAGTCCTGCTCGATCAGGCCAAGGGCTCATCTAGTCTCGCTTCCTGTATTCACAGTGGCCCCACCAGATGCCTCTGGGAGCACGTGAGACAAAAAGATACCTGTCTCCTGATACCCCTGTCCTGCATCTGGCATTTGGAGATACAGTACCTTCCTTCTAAACCTGGAGATTAAAAATCCCCATCATGGCTTGTAGCCTGCAATGGACTTTTCCTCCAGGAATCTGTCTAATCCCCCTTTAAAGGCATCTAGGCCACATCCTGTGGCAAGGGATTCCATAGACTAACAACACGGTGGGTAAAGGAAGATTTTCTTTTCTTTATTCTCACTCTCCCAACACTCCATTTGAGTGGATTTCCCGTGGTTCTGGTATTGCGTGAGAGGGAAGAGAGATTCTTTCTATCCACTTTATCCACCCCCTGCATAATTTTATATGCCTCAACCGTGTCTCCCCCCCTCAGGCGTCTTTTCTCTAGACTAAAAAACCCCAAAACGCTGTAGCCTTTCCTCATGAGGTGCCCCAGTCCACTCATCATTTTAGTCACTCTTTACTTCACCTTTTCCAGTTCCACTATGTCTTTTTTGAGGTGCAGTGACCAGAACTGTACGCAATACTCCAGGTGCAGCCTTGCCAGTGTTTTGTACAATGGCATTATAATGCTGGCTGTTTTATTAACTCAACCTAACCTAATAGCCACATTGTGGGCACAGGCACTAAAATGGCAAACACAATGAATCTAAGCAAGTTTGAAGCAAAACACATGGGGCAAGAGAGGTGGATCTGACTTCACAGGTGGCATCAGAGCTGAGAGCAACTGACCAGGAAAGGGATCTTGAAGTTCAATGAAAAGGCTCCACTGAGCTCAGTAAACAGGTTAACCTGTTCACTGAGCTGAATAACTGCTTTTAGAGAAAGGCAAATTCCCATTTGGGCAGAAATAAAAGAGAAACTGAAAAAAATGTGAATGTCATATGGACCTTAGAAAAATCTATGACATTGACTACCCTTAGTGTATGTAGCCACCAAACTTCAAAAAAAGATATTGTAGTAGTAACACCTGGAACATTTCTAGCTTAGAGAAGAGGCAGTATGATAGAGGCATACACAATTTTGCATCATATGGATTGCCCATAAGTTAAATTGGTAGGAAGAAGTTTTTTCCTCTGTCTCATCATAATACTGGAACCTGGTATCCCCCAATGAAGCTGAACCATGACTCAGTATACATAAATGAAGAACTTATCACAAGTCAAACACAGACTATGGGCTCCTTACAGTAATATGTAGTGAAAGATGCCAATTTGGATGGCTTTAAGAGGGTCTATACCTATTCATGGAGTCTAGGAGTATCAATGGCTGCTATGAAATTATCTCCAGCCTCAGGCACATACAGTAGCTGCTGGAGAACAGGAGAAAGAGGGTGTTGTTACACTCAAGGGCTGCTTGTAGGCTTTCTTTCTAATTGGCCACTGTGTGGAGAGAGTGTGAGTCTAGGTAGGCCTTTGATCTGATTCAGCAGGGCTCTTTGTTCTTATGTGTTGAGATCATCAGTGGGGGGCAGAATCCATACTCTTCTGCATTCACTGACCCTGGTCAAAAGGCTTCGAATATAGTATAAACAGGTACTCCTACATGAACATGTTGAGACAGGTGGGAAAGAGATGTTCCTGTAGAATGGAGCTTTTGTTGTTTTCCACACTGCATTTTTCTGAATTAGTACCATATGAACAAAGTGCAAGAGATTTATCAGAAGTGGATACATTATCTGATTAAAAAAGGTCTAAAGCTCATAAAAACACTTCAAAACCAATCAGTCTACAGACCACCAGCTTTCCTCTAAAGTTCCTTATGACACAGTTTGTAACTTTTTCAGGAATATTATTGAGCTTTGAAGCACATGGTATTTATTTTAAGAGAGAAAAAAAACTAGATGATTAATCATCTAGCTACTGCTTGTCTTTGATCATCCATGTTGTTTTATTTTGAATACATAGGTTCTTGTTTTTGAAACAGAAGCTGCTAAGCTGTTTTCTTGCCTGAGGACATTTTCTCTGAATGAGGCCAAAAAGGTGACTTTACACAAAGGGATGAGCAACAATGATCTGCTCTACTGAAAGAAAAGGCATTTCACATAGAAAATTTTGGAAACAAAATAGAAAGAAGGAAATATGAATAATTTAGCTGCAGTCATTGGTGTGTATCTATGTATATGGACTGCACTGACCACGCTGGAGAATTTTATCCAAACTAGAGTTTATCATTTATTGCTCTCCCCATACAAAGGAAATAAACAGGAAAATTTATTCAAAACAATCCCTTTTATATCTATTGTTGACTGTGTATATTAATTTTTCTGTATGCTTGGGGGCACACATGTATCTTCTGGACATCTGCCAAATCTGAAATTCTGTATGAAGTTCAAGGTAACTGGTTATGTAACACCAGGCCATCAATGTGAGAATGGAACAGAAAGATACTGTGCTAAACCTGATTAAGAGAGAGAGGGAGAGAGAATTCTCCTTTGATTCACCAGGGAGATAAACCATGCTCTTGTGTTCACAAACTAGCCTTAAATAATCTGCAAGGTTTCATTTGCATCACAGATTTCATAATCTGAGTATTCAGATAATGGGACAGCAACTGAATATTCACAATGCCTTGGAAACTGGTTAGGACCGTATTAAAAAAATGATGATAAAGGATCATTCATTTCTTTTTTTCCCCCAGAGTATCTGAAATAGATTATTTCAAAGAAAGAGAAAAGCAATCAGTTCAACATCCCACATAAAATTAAATCCTTTGCCTTGAAATCTGGTTAAATCAGCATCCTAGGTAATCTTACTTCTCTCATCAGTTAAATCTCCCCATTTCCTGAATATCCTTAGATTCAGCAATTTTCTGTTTTGTTTCTATTTCATGTATTGTCTTGTAATAATATGCCTCACTCCTACACTGCACCTAATTCATCCACAATTTACCTCTAGGTCCTCTTGCAAAGTGTGACAATAGACTGAAAAATTAATTTAATGGGCTTGGTTTTTTTAATGGAAGATTTAGCTCTTGATGTAATGAAATTTCACTCCAGGAGACCAACAGGCAAGGATCTGTATTAGCTAGTATCAGAAAGAGAGCTTGTGTGGTGTCGTGGACAGAGTGTCCGAGTAGAATCCAAGAGACCTGGGTTCAAATCCCTGTTTGGCCTTGGGAACTCACAGGGGTGGCAATGGTAAAATATTCCCTGAACAAACTTCACATACCTCAAAAACCATTTAGACTGGCATAAATCAGAAGGACTCTGACGTCCCATAACAACAAGCTTCGGAAGCCTATGCTGATAGCTAGACCTAAAGTATATTGGAATAGAGTACTGTAGTAAGAACAGGAGCTAGAGATAAAAAATAATAAAAAAAATAATACTTTTCGAACTGCAGAGCTGGAAGGGACCCTTTGGATCATCGAGTCCAGCCCTTGTCAAGGAAAGAAGCATTGAGCTCCCATCCTCTGGCTCCGCAGCCGGAGAGCACTGTGGGGAAGCGTAGCTCCCATCCTCTGGCTCCGCAGCCGGAGACCTAAGTCATTGAGCTTTTCAGCAGTTCTGTCTTTAAAAGACAGACATTCTTCATTGATCCTCTCCAAGGAAACAGTCCCCAGTTTTGAAAGGAAGAGGACTTGGAGGGCACCCTGATGCCATCATGCAGTGGGTACGATCTCATAGTGACACACGGCGCACAGCATTAAAGAAATTCCAGGTGGTCTTTAACAATCTACTACTCTCATAGAAATGACCCTGATAAGGACATCTGTTTCTAGCGTTCTTTCTCCTCCGATTGGTGGGATGTGCAGAAAAGAAACAACGGGGCACCACCACACACCTCTCCATTTGGGGAAATGAACCTGACCAGCACAAATTACCCCTTTCTTCTCGGTAGCCTTTCCTCCTGCCTGCTGCAACGGAGTTTCAAAGCCTCCTCTTGCATCCGGCCTTCCTCGAGGGACAGAGGCGAAGGAAACATTGCGGCTGACATACCTGGTGCTGCGTCGTCCTACATCGTGTAATTAGCAAAGTTTGCCAGCGCTTCCGGGGGGACACTTTCGGAAGGACGCCTCCGACAATCCCCGCATGATGCACAGTCCGTCTGGCGGCGGATCAAAGGGCCCCGAGCGGGCAATCCAAGGAGCGCGGAGGGATGCCGCCGGCTCTCGAGCAAGTCCCCGGCCAGGGACCGCCAGATCGTCCAACTTTTTCCCAAATCACAGTAACTCACTCCTTGAAGAACCGATCCACCAAAGGTACTTTCAACCTCTCGGACGCCTCGCCCCTGCCCTCTCCTGCGCCCCGGAGTCCGAGCCCCTTCCCGGCGCTGCGCCTCCGTCCCTCATTTCATAACCTTCCCAACACCATCTCTCCCTCTCTCCCGCCACCCCCGAGTTTTCCGGAAAGAAAGGGAGCCAACGCTGCTGCTCTGAAGGGAAGGTGGGGCGCGAGGGGAGGGCGAGAAGGGGGGGGAAGCGATCCTGATGAACTCAAGCCATCATCACAGCCCCAGCCTTGTTGAGCAGGCGGGTTTCAAGTGTCTGCGTGTGTGCTTGTATGTGTGTCTGTATGTGCGCGCGCGTGCGTGCGCGGGACAGGCAGTGGGTTTTCAGGATCTCCGGGTGAATCGGTGGCTCAAAATGGCAGCGTTTTGCCACCGCGTCGTTGAAGCCCCACGTCCCTCCCTTACCGGGCGAAATCGGGGGAGGGCCAAGCCCCGGGCAAGTTCCTCGGGGACCGACGAGAAACCATGGAGAAACTTTGCAGCCCCGCCGGCAAGGGACCCCTCGCCAAAGAAGAAGGCACACAATTGCCGCTGCCCCCCCTCCCCGGTCTTCGCTGCGCCGGCTGGCTGGCTGGCTGGCTCCCTTCCGGCTCTTTAGCGCGGCCGCTGGCTCCAATAAATCCCCATTAAAGCAGCGATTGCACCGCGATCGGCAGCTTCCTCGCATCCACGGAAGCGGACCATGATGAGGAGGAGGAGGAGGAGGGCGGCAAGAAGGAGTTTCTCCGAACTGCGCTTCCCGCTCCTCCTCTTCTCGGCATCCTCCTTCCTTGCCGGCCTCGCTGGGGATCGCCCTGCGCCGGGCGGTCTCTGCCTTCCCCCGCTTCCCGCCTGGCGGAGGCGGCTGCTGCTGCTGCTGCTGCTTGCTCTTCTTGTTGTGGTTGTCGCCGCCGCCGCCGCCGCCTCCGGAAGCTGGTCGCTCCTCTCGGCCGCCGGCGGAGCTGCAGTTGATTCGGCGCTTCTGCTCCGGTTCCTGGAGGGGTCTCCGCGACACGTCTGCTCCTGCTGCCGGCGGCGGCCGCCGGACCCGTGGCTGTTGCTAGGCGACGGGAGCCATGACACAGAGGAATTGCGGCAGGGCGGCAATCATTCCCTTCCAAACTCTCTTCTGGAGGAAGGAGGGAACCCTCGCCCCCT